CATCAGGGGTCTCATGTCTAAAAGAGTGTGCAGCTTTCATACTGAAAGTAGACATAGGGACAAAATGAAAAAACTCAATGCGAACGGTAATCAGATTTATCAAACCGTGTGCACACGTCTCTATGCACCTTTGTTTTGTACATCCAGATGAACGTGGATCTGATCTCACCTAAGACTTTCCCCCAATGGGTGCCTCAATTTAAATATGTATAATAGATGTGGATATGTCCCACATGTGAGAATCCTCCTCTCTGCACCACCAAACATTATGTCTAGATGCAGAAAAAAATAGGAATTTATTAGAATGTGAGTCTGACATGCTGTAAAATAAGTAGTGGGGCATTAAAATGTGTTTGTCACATGCATAAAAAGGAGTGATTGTGTGTGAAGCTGTGGCTGACATGGAATAAAGTGAACCAGGATGCTTGCTATAGAGCCAAGAAGGAATGTATCAGTTTAGTTTTATTCTGGGAACGAGCACATGGTCACAGAGGAAAAGGACAACCAGCCACATCCTACATCAACGAGCCGATGGCTGATACAGGACTCTCTGTCCCTGAAATGAAATTGGCCACGAAGGATTGAAGCATATGGTCAGACATCAGTGGGGATAGAATAAATTTGACTAACAGCCTAATCTTATTGATGACACTTAAAGGTGAAGCTGGGAAACTGTTAATGTTGTAAAAACAAGTATTGTAGACACCAGAGACACATGAATAATAAATAATAATTTGCGTGTGTTAAGGTATTGAGTGGATATTACAGCATGTGTCATGATCTCTGCTTTTCTGTCACCTGTCACGCCCACTTCTCCAACACAATCACGCTCATGTTCATCACTTGCTGCCCGCTTTATATTAGAGCTCCGTGCATGCCAGGTCTCTGCCATTATCAAACACTTTTGTCAGTAGATGTCCAGCGTTTCTTCCAAGCCCACACCTGATTTTCTTCATGCCTGTTCCCTGGATTCTCCAACCTGCTTGCTCCAATTTATTTTGCTCATTTGACTTTGGAACTATGACCTCTTTTCTGCCCACCCATTTTTTGATTAAGGATTCCCCTTTGAATTAATTATCTGACCTCGGTTTTCCCGTGTATGACCCTTGCTCCACCACTTGGACATGATGAAAGTTTTCCACTCTGACAGATCTACTCTCAGCATTAAAAGCCTCCCTCTCCAGCTGCTTGCCCACCACTTATGGTGACATCATTGCCGCCACTGACACCACTCCTCCAAGCTCTGGGAGTTGGCGCTGCACTTGTCAAACTCCCCTCACCCATCTAAGAAGGTTAGTGGCCATCTCCTGCTATTCTGCACATTCTCAGAGACCTACAGCCAACTAAAGGTATTCCCTCTTTTAGACCAGTCCAGTGACAGGATCCAGACTCTCACCAGCAGTTTTAACATAATAAAAATTGTTAAACGTCCGTTTTGTCTGGCTGAACTTATGATTCCAAAACCTGGATCTTGTCAGCATGTGCAAAGTTGTGCTGAAAATACCTTTATGAACAATGACTTCAGTCTTATTAGGGCATATTGGAAATGGTGCAGTACAAAGAGTGTGTATTTAGAGGCCAAGAAGATTTTTTGACCCAAGATGACAACTGGTTTATCAGACACTTTTTTGCCAAAAACAATCCTATTGGAATTATACTCTGAACTAAGACCATACTTGGAGAACAACACAGTGAAGAGTGCAATTTGCAGCAAGAGACACTTTTTTCTAAAATAAGTGGAGCTGTCGATTGCACACACGACATGAGTGGTAGCTGAAGATGAGGGCCTTAGAATTCTGACTGCTGTTGTGCATACAGCCCAAACAGCAGTTCAGAGTACCCAGCCTTCTCAGAGTACTTATTGTGGGTACTGGAAGGTGCTCCAACTAGGGACTATTTTATTCTGCTGGGGGACTTGATTGCCCACGTGGGCAGCAGCAGTGTGACCTCAAGGGGTGTAATCGGGAGGAATGTCCTCTCTCTTCTGAACCCGAGTGGTGTTCTGTTAATGGACTTCTTTGCTAGTCATGTTTTTTCCATCTCAAACACCATGTTCGAACATAAGGGTGTCCATAATTGCACGTGGTACCAGAACGCCCTAGAGAATAAATTGATGATAGAATTTATAGTCATGTCTCCTAATCTGCAGCAATATGTTTTGGACACTTGGGTAAGGAGAGGAGCTGAGTTGTCAACTGATCATCAACTGGAGGTGAATTGGATGAGATGGCGAGTAAAGATAACTGACTGACCAAGTAGACCCAAATATGTAGCTAGGGTTTGCTGAGAATGGAAAGTAAGAAGCTGGATGAGATCCACCCTGAATCTTTCAAGGCTCTGGCTGTTACTGAAGTGTCTTGGTTGACAACTGTCAGGCAGCAAAAGGAGGACCAATGTCAGTTGTGTGGAACTATATCAAACTGAGCATAGAGGACAAAAGTGAAGCAAACTGAAATATATGCTCAGCAAAGTTGTCCAAAGGGTGATGAAATCTGTTTCAACTTGAGCAGTTTGATCAAACATTTAAAAACACCCAACATGATGCAGAGTTCAAAGTGTTTACTTACAAACAGTAAGAAGTCACAACCCCAACAGAAGACTGACGTTACGAAGGAACTTTTGGTACAGAGAAGTGTGGTTAATGCTGTGGCAGTTGGACAAAAACTAGTTAGACATGTTAAACATTTCATCACAGCTTCATCCAGAAAAATGTTCAAGGCCATCTTAACTATCCAATTACAAGGCTCCAACAGGACTCACTGTAACAAGTTCCACATGCCACTAGGGCTGCACAGTATATTAAAGAATATTTTCATTGCATTAATGAGTGCAATATCAATATTACCAAGGACTACATGGACTGCAATAAATCATAGGGAATTTTAAAATGCATACTTGGCATGCTAATGATGAACTCTCTCGCATTAGCCTTGACGCCAGCACCTGGTTTCGATGATACTCATGACCGAACAGTAAGTGAAGATTCAAGAAAATTGTGGGTTTATTTCAATCAATAAGGTCAGCACATTATTAAATAATAAATCATAAATCACAAGTTTTTTCAAAAAACGTGTAGCCTTACATTCTACAGTCTATCTTTGAGCAGAAGAGGATCTTGGGAATATTCTGATCTCATCGCAAGCTTCCTGGCATTCTCACCACTCCCCAACAGGTGCTCTTAGAAAGAAAAACAACTTCTGCTATCATTGGCTTAGTTAGAGGAGTTAACACATTTTCAAAGTAATAGTAAAACAAAATGTAGCAGCAGTTCATAGTACTAGTAACAGTAATTGGTATTGCTAAGTACTCAAATGTAAGTGCTTGTACTTGTTTGGGAAAAAATGTAGTACTGGTGCATCCCTAGAAGAAGTATCAACCATTTCAAAACCTTTTATATCATATTGAGGGCGTCTTCAGCCCATCTCAATGGTGCTGGTCTGGAGCTTCTTTTTTTTTACATCTCCAGAGGAGCTCTGTTCCAAATGTCCAGGGCTAACCACGGTGATGATAAATAAGTATTTAAAAACCTGTTTGAATCTTCTCTTTATGGTTTTGTATTTCAGTAAATTGTTATTTAATTAATTTAATGGGTTGGTAAACATCTATGTTTACCTACATAAGCAAACACTTGATTAGTATAACTATTTTTGGAGAACTTGGTACAACAAGAAGTAGCGCTAAGCTAGCAGCATGCAATACAAACGCTCTAGCTAAAATGCTACAGATGTAGCTCTCCACTTTATATTACACAATAAACACTTTGTACAAAATCAGTTTAGTGTTAACTGATCATTACAAATAAAGACTAAACTTATGCAACCAGAAGTTAAACCATAACTATATCTACATATAAAACACACAAAACAAAGCACAACTAGCTTTAAGCTTTAATTTAACCATAAAGCATACAATATAATTGTGTCAAAAATGGAGGATTTACTTGCAGTTACCTTCATACAGATGAACATGTGGTACTTCCTGTTTGTCACTTTTGTATTCAGCTGCTAATGAGGTCGGTCGAAGGGCTTTATCTATCTTTTACATTTTTAAAAACTCAGTTTAGGTTTTGGAAATGGAATAAACTGTATTCCACCGTCTAAAGCAGGGCTATTCAATTAAACCGCTCAGGGGGCCACAGTTACTGAAAACCAACAGCTCAGGGGCCGAACATCCAGTAATTAGTCATTATGTAAATAAACCAAGTATTACAATGATCTCTTACCTTTTAAATGTATTAATGTTATTGCATTGAATCATAGACGCAATAAACAGAACCCAAAACCCACAAACATTTAAGAATAATAATTATATATATATATATATATATATATATATATATATATATATATATATATACACACACATACATACATATATACATATATACACTATATATGTATGTATATATTTATACATATATAACTTGTTTTTCAGGGATGCTGAGTTAAAATTTAGGGGTGCTTGAGCACCCCAAAAAGGAGGCTAAAATTGCCAATTTTGAACATCACGTCACTATCCATACATTATCTTTTACCCGCTTCTTCCATTTTGGGTCACGGGGTCGCCGGTGCCCATGTCCGGCAATCACTGTGCGAGGGGCGGGGGACACACTGGTCGGGTCTCCAGTCCATCACAGGGACACATAGAGACAAACGAGACAAACAACCATTCAATCTCTCACTCACACCTAGAGACAATTTAGAGTTACCAATCAATTTAACATGCATGTTTTTGGTCTGTGGGAGGAAACCGGAGTACCCGGAGAAAACCCACGCATGCACGGAGAGAACATGCAAACTCCACCCAGACCGGGATTTGAACCAGGGACCTGCTCACTGAGAGGCAACAGCTCTACCAGTTGCGCCACCGTGCTGCCCAACATCACTTCACGTTTAACCCTTTTTTTATTTCACATCGTTTATTTGTGTAGCATTCATTTCTGAGGACACCAAACCATTACAGAAAGCATGAGGTAGTCTCCAGTCCTCCCAGGGACTTACCTGAGCCAGGGCTGTGTTTAGCTGTGTTGGAGGTCGTGTGAGAGGTGGATGTGGAGGCCACCCTCTGGTCTGAACTGTTGTCCTGGCCCAGAGTTGAGCTTGACTTTCTGGGCTTTTTGTCTGTCAGGTGCAGCGGGGAGCTCTTCTTTGCAGGAGGAAATGGCCATAGAGGCCTGGCTGTGGCGTTAATCTTCAGCCACGCTTGGGCTTTGTACTCCACAATCTCTCCATAGTTAGCTCGTGTCACCCGGCACTCGTACAGTCCTTCATCATTCTTGCTGACTCTAGAGATCTGTAATCTGTGCGAGATGTCATTGCCCTGGACCTTCACTGTCTGTTAGAAAAGAGACACAATGAGGTGAGACACTGTCCAGCTCTAGCAGCATCACAGTCCAAATTTAAAAGCAGAAATACTCCCTTTTAATATCATGATTTAAAAAGGACCAATAATACAAACAAAATAATTGTAGTCCTTCTCTTAGGGTACAATATGAAAGAAAAAAAAAAACTTGGACAATTTTATAATTCATAGGATCATATATCAACCAAAAACAGCAAAAGAAATACAGGATTTAAAGTTTTGGTATTTGGTGACAGAATTATAAATAAACTGAATTGAATTAATATAACTGATAACTTTCATGCCAAAGTTTTAGATTAAAATCATCTGAGATTAAACTCATTTTGATCAAAACCTTGAAAATCAAATTTTGTGTCAAGTCATGAAAAATGAGATGGCACACTCAGTACCTGCTGTGAGTGACTCTCAGCTACTAACACATCAAACTTTAGCTGAGAATGTGTAAAAATGACTGAATTATAGATATGATTTGTTTTCTTCAGTGCGCTGGCTGAGGCAGCCATCTTGACATGGGTTGATAAATGAGATAGTTTGCAAACAGATCGATGAACACATGAACATACAGTTACGTGCAAACACATCATCTGGCTTTAGTTTTTAGAGGATGTTGAAACATTATCAAAAGTCTGACTATATTCTAATTTCAGGTTGTTGTAAAAATGTGTCCACTCTGTTTTAATTTAACGTGAGGTTAGTTGATGTTTGCAGGCGTTATTTTAAATACAGCTATGGTAAACGCTTCTTTGATTCATTCAGTTTAGCTACAGCTTTACTTTGGTCTCATCTATCCAAAGGACTTTCCAGAAGTCATGATTTATTCAGATGAAACTTCTCAAACCTCAGTCATGTTGCCAGTTTTGATTTCAGATCAAAATAAAAGATTTTTTCCTGCATCTCTTCCATACAAGCTGTACTTGTTCAGTTTTTTCCAACCATCCTGTCGTAATGTGCTGAAATGTGATGTGGTTTTAGCCGAGCATCGTCCCCAACACATATTTTGTGTCAGCCCTATTTAAGATGGCTGCCACAGCTGATCAACATTAGCCAACACAAAATTGGCTTTACCACGGTCATTTTTGCAGATACAGTACTGCAATTACTGTTTTAATTTACAATTTATACTTTTGTTGGATGTAACTGGTGTAGTGAACTTAACCTGATGTAGTGAACTTAACCTGAGGTCAAAACCCTTGACCTTAAGAACCTTGTGGGACAGAAACTGTCATTTCATTGATCTGCATCCAGAAATACAGTTTGACCCATCCTGAGACTTTCTTTCTTGAATTAATCAAGTGGAAAAGACAATCCTCTATGATCATTACTATTTTACAAATGTTTGATAATCAAATTGTGTTAGTTCAAACAATGTTTACAGGTTGAAGAGAACTACTCATTTTTATTTACATAAACAGTAAGTAATGATTTTTATTCCTCATTCAAAGAAGAAATCAGGTTAATATGCATTTCTTGATTTTCTGTCTTCAATGAGCAAGTTTGTAAGTGTGTGTCAAAGTTCGAGGTTCGGTCAACTAAAAAGTTTACTGAAAAGAAATGTCATGTTTAACTTTTACAGCAGATACTAGGTGAATTGACTCCACGGAGTCTGAATTTCTCCAACAATCTTTCTGTCTGTTTTAAACAATCTTAATCTCTATCCTTGACTTTCCATAACACCTTACATCACAAACCACACCTCTGTTCTGGTCTATCCACCAATCAAAAAGCTCTCAAATGAACCGGAAGTCGAACCCATTTAAATGTGGCAACTTCCCGGTTCTCTCAGTGTCGAAGAGAGACGAGACGAGATGAGAAGAGCTTAAAAGAGTTGAGCTCTGAAGGAGTTCAGAGTTCTTGGAATCCAGAATGCAGAGACGATTTTGGGAATTATAACTTCTGTTTGGATAACCTCGCACGACTCTCTAGGTATTTGGCTGTTCTCAACGGAGACGCTGAAAGAGTCAAAAGAAGAGCTCTACACCGACGCTGAAACTATCATCAACCAGGTAAAAGTTCTATTTCGACCAAGCGTACCGTTGGCCATGCTGAGATCTGAAGGAGCGTGCACGTTCTGGTTAAAACAAACAAATTCCCTGACACATCTCTCTGTAAGATAAATCTCCATTTTCCATCTTTAAACTCTCCTTTCTCCTAAAATCATTACAGATATTTTTAGAAATGTCTGAAGCAAAGTTTCTCAATCACCGCCGTGTGAATTGATGTCTGCTGTTCTGCTGAAAAGTGAAAACAATCGCCGTATTGTTCTCACTTCCTGTAAAACTAGCCATGTTGTTGTTTTCATATTTTGCCAAATTAATGTAAATGTTTGATGTTAATCTTTGATTCTGTAAATAAATGACCGCATTCATTTTGATGGGTCAAAGATAAATAACGTCTCTCGTTACATTTCTGTTAAACTCAATGCACGCATGTTACACAGTCAGAAAAATGAAGAACCCCTTAAATGTATGAATATATCTCAGCATATGTCATACTACACTGGGACCCTATGTACTCAATTTTGTTCCACCACATGTACCACTGGTGAGAATGACAATAAAGAACCTTGACTTGACCTTGACTTGATTGTCATTCATAAAAGTGGCCCTAACTCTGTCCCCTCTCATGTTCAGATTATATTAGTTTGAAGCACTGGTAGCAGGCCATATGCATTCCTTCAAGTAAAATTAGGTCTTATAATAAATAATATTTTTTTCAAGTTTAGTGGTGTATTTACCTCATGCAAAACCTAAAAGATAAAACCTGGACGTCCTCTGCTGATATCATATTAGATGTTTTTGGTAACGCTTTTGCCTTTCTACATGAGCTGGACGAGTGTTTTCTGCTCAAAGTGGGTGAAGTCCACCCCTGCAGCCATGCATATTAATCAGGACTGCCTCACTGCTCCTGGTGAGCCAGCCTTGTTTATACAGGAAACACACCAACACTTTTTTCTCTTTTTATTGCTTCAAATTCAAGTACATGTTGACATAAAGTGCTTAAAGTTGGAATGAAAATGGTCCTGAAGATGAAAGTCTCAAATATTGCACTTTTGTAGAGTACTATATTGTATTTTTAAAGAATTCACACTAAAGATTGAAAAAAAAAAAACTTGTGTCTTTTTGTCTTTTTCTTTTGTTCACTCTGATGTTAATGTCATTTGTGCCAAATAAACATTGATCCCAAACTAATCAAGGAGCTTCTCGTGTGCGAGTGCAGAGAGCCTGTGGGTGAAATGGTTTAGTGTTGTAATTAATTGTATAAACAAACTCTAAACTACAATGGAGGTGGCACAGTCGGTAAAGCTGCCAGCTCAGCAAGAAGGTTGCCGGATCGAATCCTGGCCGGGGTCTCTTCTGGGTGGAGTTTGCATGTTCTGTCCGTGCAAGTGTGGGTTTTCTCTCGGTACTCCGATTTCCTCCCACATATCAAAAACATGCATGTTAGGCTGATTGGTAACTCAACCCTCCAGAGCTGTGAGTGAGAGAGTGAATGGTTGTTTGTCTCGTTTGTTTCTATGTGTCCCTGTGATGGACTTGCAACTTGTCCAGCCTGTCCCCTGCCTCTCGCACAGTGACTGCTGGATATGGGCACCAGTGAGCCCCGCAACCCAGAAAGGAAGAAGCGGGTAAAGATGATGGATGGATAAATGGATAAACTACAGTGGACATTTCATTCTTTCCCTTTCTGAAAGAGGAGAAAGTTTGACTAATTTGGTTACTTTAGCCTTTTCTTCTTCTTTTGCTTGACTGCTTCTTTCTTCTTGGATCGCGACAGCGAGCAAACTCGCACAAGCATTTAGCAATTGTGTTTACGCCAGATTGTCTTTCCTGACACATCCACCAACCACAAGTTACTACAGCCCACACACAGACGACTGCCTTCGAGGGTGCCCGAGGGAGCAGAAGGGGTGTTAAGGGCTTTGTTCAAGGGTCCAGAGAGGGGCAAGTTGAAGGTGGAGGCAGGTGTGGTTGCTTCACCTTTCCCACCAAAATTTTTGATAAAAAAATTTAGGTCAGGGGGATTAGAACTGGTGCCCACTCAATCACATGCTTGACTTCTCTAACCTCTGGAGAATGTTGTTTTTCACACAAGGCGGCTGAGACGGCTCCGTATGAAGTATGAGAAATGCATTTGTTTTGGTTGTATTTACACAGAATGCCCTGTGCTTTAGCCCACTTCCTGCTTTTGGCGCAGTCTCTGGTCCGCTTGCATTCACAATGCAGTCGAACCACATTATAGTTCACTTCAACTGAACCGAGACCTAGGTGTTTAGGCAGACCAGAGTTTGCTTTTTTGGTCCGCATCAGAGTTTGATAGTGCATTCACACTTCCCCAAACGAACCAGACTTTCTAGGCAAACGGACTAGAGTTCGATTAATAATAATAATAATAATAATAATAATAATAATAATAATAATAATAATGTCATCACAATGTCAGCACTGTATGTTTCCATACAATGGCGAAATTAGTCTCTGCATTTAACCCATCCACCACCAGGTGGTGCAGTGGGCAGCTATTGAAAGCGCCCGGGGGACATTTTGGGGATTAGACGTGCTGCCCAGAGACGCCACGTGATGTGCAGTGACTGGGGATCGAACCTGGGACTCTCGGGTCCCAAGCCGGCTGCCCTGCCTCTACACCATCTCGGCCCCTAAGCGGACTAAACAGGGCTGGTGTGAATTTACCCTAAATCACTACTTGGTCTGTTGCCTTCATACAACTCGTTCTTCATGTCACTGCATGTGTATGTAAGGGTCCCACTGCCTGCAGCCTGCCTTGCTGATGGCCGCTGATTACCAACACCTGGTGGTCATCAGCCTGATGAGCCTCTCCATCTACAAAAGGCTGCAGCCCAGTGTGACTCATCGCTGGAGCACATCACCTCTTATGGTATAGTACTGTTGAGCTAGATATGTCTAGGTGAAAAGAATTTGTTCACCTGTGTTCTCTTTTCCAGTTCCCTGGTTCCT